TGTAGTGTTGTGGCGAGAATTGATTGAGTGCTATTGGGATTGTGGTTGTGCAATATCTCAGGTGAGGAGCATTGATGGGGACTGGGATTATGGTTGAGAAAGACCTCAGATGAGGATCATTGAAGGCTCCGCATGCGGCAGCTGGAGAAAGGTAGAAGGAAGAAAATTTTAGGATGGGAGAAATTGGGAGCATTTGAACAGTAGAGGTTGTTAGAAATAGTAGTGTTATTCGTCTGTAGTTGTTGCAGCGACTTTTGATGTAGGAACAGAACATGCAGAATTATGAAATGTAAATTTTCAACTATATCCAGCACGACGATAGAGAAAGAGATGTTGAACGTACGCTTTTTCCTTCTTGTCATTTTTCTTAACAAGTGTGCCACAAATTTGACATCTCACAACACCACTGTCATAAAGCGTGCACCAGACACCAGAAACTATATGTCACCAGAAACCTGAATATGTAAGAAGTTCCATTTAACGCAATAGAAACCTCTCTCAGTGCATGCCAAAATCCAATAGTATCACAAGGCATAACACAACCAGTATGAAACAGACCACAATTGTTGATAGAACCCCATCCGTGGGGCAGGGCGAGTGAGGTCGAGTGTGTGGCTGGGTTAGGGTGGCATTAATGTTAATTTCATGTTATTTTTTAAAACCACTATTTAATTAAGTGGTTATAATAAATCGTAATAAAACGAATAGAAAAAATACAAGACACGATTTTATGTGGTATCCATACGATTTGTCAAGACTAATCCACGGGAGAGTTGAACCTCTCCAGCTGCAGCTGTTATTATTTAGAACTTAGTAGCTTGGCCGAACGGCCTACAAGTGCCTTATATAGGAAATCATCAACTTGGTTTCTACTAGGGCAAATACAAGAAGGACAAGGTTTAGGGCAACTTGTCTCATGGGGCAGTGAGCATCCCATCACAAGAGCACAGGTGGGCTTGGATTGCTGGTCACAATCCAATACGCCCCAACAAGCTGAGTGGTGAAGATCACGAACGTTCAGCTTGGACAGGAGAAACTGAAAATGATCAGCGCCTAACCCTTTGGTAAAAGGTTAGCTAGCTGAAGATGAGAACTGAACTTGATTTTGAGAGGGAGAACGTCACCATAAACAACTCTCTCTCTCGCACAAAATAACAATCCATCTCGACATGCTTTGTCCGCTCATGAAGGACCGGATTAGCAGCTATATGCAGTGCTGCCTGATTATCACAGTATAGAGGGGTAGGACGAAGTCGGGGAACACCGAGCTCGTGTAGCAACCAGCGTAACCAAAGAAGTTCACTGACAGTACTGGCCATGGCGCGATATTCAACCTCAGCAGAGGAACGCGCTACCACCTTTTGTTGCTTTGTATGCCAAGAAACTGGAGCTGAACCAAGGGATATAAAAAAATATGTGGTTGACCGACAAGTTGATTGGCAACCCCCCCCCCCCCCCAATCTGCATCACAATGTGCGACAAGCTCAAGATTATTATGAGCAGGAAAATATAAACCTTGGCCTGGTGAGTCTTCAGGTACCGCAGGATGCGCATCCCAGCATCCATATGGGCCTGCGTAGGTGCATGAACCAAGCGACTAAGGATATTCACACCATATGTGATAGCCGGACGAGAGACAGTAAGATAAAGTAAACGTCCAATCAACCGCCGATAAGCCGAGCCATCAACAAGAGTAGCAGATGCGGGCTTGGTGAGCTGGTGATTCTACTCCATCGAAAAAGCACTAGGACGAGAACCAAGGACACCTACTTCGGCGAGAATGTCAAGAACGTATTTCCGCTGACTGATGACAATACCTCGAGGAGAACGAGCCACCTCAAGACCCAAGAAGTAACGTAAAACTCCGAGATCCTTGATGCTGAATTTTTTATCAAGAAACTGCTTAACATGATTAATGAAGTCCAATTCATTCCCAGCAAGAATCACATCATCCACGTATATAAGGGCAGTGACAAACACATCTCCCTTTAATAAATAAAGAGAGAGTGGTCAGCTGGTGAAGCACGAAAGCCAAGATCGCCAAGAGATGTCTTGAAATTTTTATACCAATTTTGCGATGCCTGACGATGTCCATAAATGGACTTGTATAGTCTGCAGACACGAGCATCACCATCAACACCAAAACCAGGAGGGAATTTCATGTAAACTTCCTCGGTCAGATCACCATGGAGGAAAGCATTGTTGACGTCGAGTTGATGAAGAAACCAACCGCGACTAGCAACAACTGCTAGAAGGCACCAGACTGTAACAAGTTTAACAACTGGGGAAAAAGTATCATGAAAATCGACGCCCTCGATTTGGGTATAACCCATAGCAACCAACCAAGCTTTGTAATGCTCGACCGAACCATCGGGACGATACTTAACCTTGAAAACCCACTTAGAATCAATGCAGCACTTCCCGGGAGGAAGTTGAACAAGTTCCCACGTGCCATTGGCCTTGAGTGCTGCAATCTCCTTGGCCATGGCCTCTCGCCAATGAGCATAGCGTACTGCTTCCTTGAAAGTCTGCCGCTCAGGTATACGATCCACAGAGGCAAGAAAAGCTCGATACGAAGGGGTGACTCGATCATAAGAGACTTGATGGGAAAGAGGGTATCTCACGTGGGAAGCCGACGTGAGGTCAGTTTCGTAGATGTCAAGCTTGCGTGGAGGACAACGTTCCCGCAAGCCACGGCGTAGTGGGGGATCAGTGGCATGATTAACCGAAGAATCTGAAGGCTGATGTGATGAAGACGAGGGTGAGTCGCCCCTATGATGCGGAGGGCTCGACTGACGGTCCCGTGAAACAGCAGCTGGCTCGACATGGACTGGAGACTCCGACGAGGGAGATGAAGAGGAAGTTTGATCGAGAATCTGATCACCAGAGCCACCATCGACTGACGTTGAAAGATCAGTAGCTCGTACATAGTCATCGCACAGCTCCAAGATCGTGGGAGGCGGCAACCAGTGAAACTCGCGAGGGTCCTGTGCACGGAATGGAAAAAAATTCTCATGAAAAACTATATCACGTGAAACTTGAATCTTACGTATAAGTAAATCATACATTTTGTATCCCTTTTGTGTAGCAGCGTAGCCCAAGACTACGCATGCACGACCACGATCGGCGAACTTATGAAGACCGTCATGGGTGTCCTTTGCGTACACAAGGAAACCGAACACACAGAGATGTGATTAAGATGCCGATTTGCCAAAGAGGAGCTCATATGGAGTTTGGTCACTCAAAAGCCTCTAAAAAGTGGAAACGAGAAAGAAATACGGGCAACCTTCCCTAAAATACGACCGTAATTTGCAAAATACCGCCAGTAATTTTCAAAATACTGCCAGTATTTTTCCATACGTGACCGTGGATTTTTGCTCATCGACTTAACCAAAACTCGGGCATGGAAGAATTACGACCATATTCTTGCCCGTATTTCGCACAGAATCGGGTTGAAGAGCTAGATTCGAGCCAAAGGAAGGGGATTCGACTTTTTGGAGCAAAAATAGAGTTATAGAGAGAGAAAGAACGAAGAACAAACCCTAGGAGCTATTTGGAGTGGATTTCTTACCATTGAAGCCCAGATTGCATCCCAGGTGTGCAGATTGACATCCCAAAGCATATTATTCCAATCTTTATGAGTATGACTGCTTTTATTTCTGTTTTCTTCTCTATCTCTATGGAGTAGACCTTTCTCTCACTTGGGTATGAAGAACCCTAGTTCCATGTGTTAGGGATCTTGATTGTAATAACTTTTGGGATGATATCCTGATTGATTTTAATTAATTGAAGTGTGTTTATTGAGTCAATTGAATCATGATCAACTTCTCTTGATTTCTGTTTTCAACCTGTGATAGATAGAATCTGAATAGGTTGTTAGAGTTTCTTCAATCGATAGGAGTGAATTGATTGTACGAGATTCAGTCAATTCACTGCTTTGTATTGGAATATGCTTCCAGTTGTGAAGTCCTGTGTTAATTGCCTTAGCATTCTATCCTAGTGAAGACTTGTTGTCTGCCGGTTAGTCTGTCTGAGAGGGCTTGGTCAGCTTAAGAGATTCCAAGCTACTGTCGGATCTTCCGCAGTTTAATCAACAGTGAATCAACCAAAGGAAATTACAACTTGAACCTAACTAAGGAGTTAGGGGGACTCATTCCCGAGTGACTCTTCTCTTGCTTCAGAAAACCAGACAATTTACTTCTTTCTTTCTTTTTTAGTTTGAATTCACCTTCACTCACTTAGTCTTGCTAGATAATAGAAGTTCACATAGTAGGCAGTAGATCTAGAGTCCGAGTTGATAAATTAAACTTACATACACTATTCTGCATTTACGGACTGCAATTATACTTGGTCTTAGTTTGATGTTGTATTTTAGCGAGTCAATATGCTATTGATGCTTCGACTCAGATTTCATATTCCTTCTTTGTTGCAACTTGCAATGTAGTAATTAAGTATACCATCGATGATGTTTACCTTATGTTTAACTAGGAGTGATTGATAACTCCAGCCTGATAACCACAATAAACTTATCATATGGTTGGTTTAGCACACCAATATTTGTTGTTCTGATACACAATAGTTAGACCGCATATCCATTAATGGATAATACAAACGTACAAAACAAGTGTAAGAAAATGCTATTAAAAAAACACACACACAAGGCTCAAGTACAGAAAATTCAAAGCCCAGAAGGAAGGCCAAAACCATAAGAATCTGGATCACTACTCTCCCAAACAAACTCCAAACCAAAATGTAAATTACTAGCCCTAGATGAAAACCAGGGGAAATCACATGCATAAGTACTATTGTTGAGAAATCCACACATAAAATAATACAACCATCCATTTTTCAACACTCAATTGTCTTCATCCTCCTCCTCATCGTCTTCATCATCATCAACATCTTCATCGTCGTCCAAGGCGGTGAATTCTTTTAGAGCATTCCTCAATTTCACTATTTTAGCTTTTGCGATTCCAAGTTGCTCAAGTTTCACTTTCACCTTATTGGTTTGCTTTTATACTCTCCCTGTCCTTCTTCTTGATCATTTTCTCCTTTTGGTCGATCATTTTCTTATCAGCTTCCAACTTCGTGACCTGGTCAACAATCTCTTTATCTTTCTCCTTAACCTCCTCTTCTTTGTTCTTTTGTTCTTCCTTCGTCTTACCAATCTCCTCATCTAGTTTCTTCTTCATCGCCTCTTCCACGTCGATCATGTGCTTGTTTTTCGCCTCGAGCTCCGCATCTTTCTTGCTCATCTCCTCATCTTTGGCATTGAGTTCCTCTATCTTCTGTTCTAGTTGTTGACCCATGACATCTCTCTCTTTGCGTGCTTCGTCTAGTTGTTTTTTTTATTTGTACCTTTTCTATCAGTAAGGTACTCACAATGTCATCAAGCGTGACTGGTTCTTGCGTTGGTGCCATGGAATTAGATGATTGTTGAGCTATCAGCTTTGCAAGCTCCTCACTTTGCTTTTGTATGGCTTTGTCCCTATCATTTATTACTTTCTTCAACTCTGAAATTTCTTCGTCCTTAGCTTTCAGTTGGTTGTCTTTTTGCTTTGATTCTTGCTCCATGAAATCTATCTTCTCCTGCACTATATTGTTGGTTGATTTCTCGTCCTTCACAAGGTCTGCCATTATCATTAATATCATTATAAGAAATTGAAAATTTGTTAAACTATATTTATAGGGTACCATTATGAAATTTTACAGTGCATGATATTTGGGATGTGAAGTACACATTCCCAACATAAATTATCTACATTCTTTGATAAAAACATTTATCCTTAACTTTATGGCATAATAAAGAGGATATAGATAATAAATATACATATGCCATAAAGTGCAAAGACTAGGACAGCTAGCTAATTAAACAGATGAAAAGTAGGAGCAAGATCTAACAGTGTTATTATACATAATTGTTTTGTTTGACAGTGGAGTGGAGGGGCTAGATTGTAAGTCTCATCAATAATAAATCTTTCCCAATTGAAAAATAATATATTCTGTATTTTTTAGATAAAAATTTCTGAACTACAGCACGTAAATATATAACTGAAACCTTTGTTATTAAATTTAAATAAATGACAGAAAATGTATCTTAAATGCGATTTTGTGTTTATGAATGAAAATTCAATAGCTGCCTGTACATTTGTTTTTAGTTTTACGGTAACCTAGAGATTGATTTATGTGTTGAAACTTGAAGCTACTGCAAAAGAAATAATTTAGGTAAATAAGGTCATTTCAAAACGGTTGGTCCTAGAGATAATATAAAGATAATAAATTTTACCACATGTAAGTTTGAATTTTGCATCCAAAACAAAGTTTTAATCTTTCTATAAAATAATTGCACAAGTAAAAGTGTAGAATACTCACCGATCTTCAGCGAAATAGCTATTTTGACATCCTTAGAATTAGTCACAATTTCTTCAACCAATAATCCTCCCGATAACCCCTCTAATGTTGGCGGCGTTGTTACTATCGGCGATACAGTAGGGCGTGATCCTTGATTTTTTATCGCTGCAATCTCATCGTCTTTTTTGTTGATAACTACTATTAGCTCCTCTATCTTCCCCTCCTTGGCATCCAACTCGTGATTTTGCTCAGCAATTTCTGCCTCCCGCTCCTTAATAATTGCTTCCAACCCCTCAATCTTTTTATTTTTCTCTTCTAGATCCTTAACTTTCTGAGAATCATCTTTCTCACCTTTCTTGATAATTGCTTCGAACTCCTGGATTTTTTGGGTAGCATCGTTGATGATTGCTTCCAGCTCCTCAATTTTGTTATTCCTTTCTTCCAGCTCCTGAAATTTTTGGGCAGCTTCTTTTTCACTATCCTTGATAATGGCCTCTAGCTCCTCAATCTTATTATTCTTTGCTTGCAGCTCTTGTCTTTTCCTGTTAGCTTCTTCCTCATCCTTGATAATAATTGCTTCCAGTTTCTTCATCTTTTTATCGTTTGATTCCAGCTGCTCATTTTTCTCCGCAATTTCTTCCCCGTACTTATGGATAATTGCTTCCAACTCAACGATCTTACTTCTTGATGCAGCCAGATTCTCGTTCCTCTTGCAAATCTCCTCGTCCTTGTTCGCAATTTCATCCTTGAGAGTGGCGGCATTTAACTCCTCAATCTTATTTTTTCGTATCGGAAGGGGTTCATGGTGCCCACCAACTGTCCGGTGTTGGTGGCCTGACAAACGATCTGGACGCCGGCATAGTTAGCCAGCCGAGTAGGTAACTGAAGGTATTTGTAGAGTCTTACCAAATTGTCCCCGCTGATGACGACGTTCCCGTTAACATCTAACGCCGTGTATTGGGTGCCTACGCCGTTTGGATGGATCTTCTCTACCAGCCGCCAGTCCCTGTAAGGATACATTACAGCTCCATGACCGTGCTGGCCAGACGAATTCAACACATGGATGGTGTTGAGCTCGCCGCCGGCGCAAGCAAAAAAGTAGCTGTTTGAATGGAGAGGGAAGATCTTCATCTTTTGTTGCCCTTCTAGCTAATAATTACTTGGCTCTTTGATTTCAATTCATTATTGGTAGATCTGAGAATCGGCCTGGTTTAGTTTATATCCGCCGCAGATATAATAATAATAATATTGAATGAATTCTTTATTTTGTTTCATTTTTGTCAAAAGACAAGTTGACGTCATTGGCTAGGTGATTTTTTCCACATATATATAAATAAATATTTATTGGATAAATTGCAAGTTTGGTTATTGAAATTACTTAAAAGTTCAAATTTGTCACTAAAATTAATTTGTTTTATTCGTAGTCACTTAAATTAATTACACAGTTCAAGTTTGATCACTCTTTGTTACGTTCCGTCAAACTCTATTAGTACTGTCAGTGAACTACTGATGTAGCTAATAGAAATGCCCAATCAACATATTTTGAGTTTTTTACCCAAAAAAATTTATAGTTGACCCACCACATCATCAAAACCAACCCAACCTTTCCCAATCCATGACTCAACCCTATTAACTAACCCAACCTCATCCCATCAACTAACCTCAGATTTGGGTTTTTCTCAAAAGTGGACCTGGAGCCAGTGGCGGAGGCAAGGCCTTTTGACCTTGTCCCGGGACAGGGGTAAATTTCGGTAGAACAAAAATACGCCATATATTTATATTGGTGATGGAACACAACATGTACAGGTAGTATTAGAGTACTTTGTCACTAAAACACAACTCATTACTTGTCCAAAATTGACATAAAATTAATTTATTATACAATAAATGAAATTCCAATTGCAATAAAGAACTAATCGGGTCTGTTTTTTCCTTATGCCTATTCGATCTTTCCCCAACAACTCTGAAATTGTCTAGCAACAACGGCAATCCCACTAGTTTTGATCTACCAATTACAACTGCAAGGGTAAAAAGAGCATTTTCAGCTTTGAGTTATATTAAGAACAAGTTTCCAAGTCGATTTGGTGACCAGTTTGCTAATACTTGTTTAGTAAGATACATTGAAAGAGACTTATATAATAGTGTAGACAACGAATGTTCTACGCTTCTTTCACTATATGAAATTCCTTCGTAGTTGTTTCTGAAAAGTATGATAGTATAATCGGTTATTTTTAATTTATGAATGAATTATTTGGATATAATTATTTTTTATTAAATAATTTTTTTATTAGATACTTATATACTTAAGTTATGAAAAGCGGACAGGGGTGGTTTGAAATGCTGCCTCTGCCACTCCCTGGAGCTGGTGGTTTCGGTCAGTAATTCGAGAGTGGCCGCTCTAGCGAAATTACGACAGAGCCAAAGTGGAAGTCACGGCGGAAATCGAGGGAGGATAGTGGAATTAGCTGGGCCGGGAAGACGTCGTCGATGCTGGCGGTGCGAGTAACAGGAAGCTAGAGGTGAGAAAGTGATGTTTGAGGCTGCGGGAATGCATAGGCGCTGTTCATCAGGTGCTGACAGCCTCTATGTCGCAGAGGCGGAGGCAGCCCATTTGGGCCTTGTCTCGGGATAGGGGTAAATTTCAAAGGAAAAAAATACGTCATATATGTTTATATTGGTGATGAAACACAACACCTATAGGTTATATTAGAGTATTTTGTCATTAGAGCACAACTCATTACTTGTTCATAAATTGACATAAAATTAATTTATTATACAATAAACAAAACTCCAATTGCAATAAAGACCTAATTGGATCTCTTTGGTCCTTATGCCTATTCGATCTTTTCACCAACCCTGAAATTGTCTAACGACAACGGCAATTACACTAGTTTTGATTCTACCAATTACAACTGCAAGCGTAAAAAGAGTATTTTCACCTTTGTATCATAGTAAAAACAAGCTTCCAAGTTGATTTGGCGTCCAATTTGCTAATACTTGTTTAGTGAGATACATTGAAAGAGACTTATTTAATAGTGTAGACAACCAATATTTTTGTATTTCTTTCACAATATGAAATCCCTTCGTGGTTGTTTGTGAAAACAATGATTGTATAGTCGGTTATTTTTATTCTATGAATAAATTAGTTGAATATAATTCATTTTAATTATTTTTATTAAATAATTCTTAATTAATACTTATATATTTACATTATGAAAAGAGATAGGGGTGGTTTGGAATGCTGCCTCCGCCACTGCTCGGTGGGGACGACGGCGATGAGGGTTCCAAAATGACTGATTCTCCCCCATTTGGGTTTGTATCAGATCTTTTTTCCGGGTAGGGCTGTCGAGATTCCGTGATTTCATGGAGAAGGCTATCCTATTAGTTTCAGATCTTCGTTCGCTGATCGGCGGTTGAGGAGATACCGAAATGATCGATTGGTGGGTATAAGATACTGATGAATTTGGTTGATATGATTTTATTGATGGAAAGCTTGATTTGTTATAAAGGGTTCCTAATCTATTTATACAAGGAAGAAGAACAACCATAAAAGCTGTAAAGATAAGAGCTGCTGTTTAGTTGTTGGAGCAGAGCATGGGTGAGGTATGGACGATGGCAGCTGTTGTCTGGAGTGCAACTGGAGCACATGGGAGTCATGGGTCGCTGCTGGACAATATGGGTGACTGCAAGCTTGATGGAGGCAGACCATTGATGAAGGCTGAAGTTGGTTTACAGTTGGAAACCATCAATGCATTAATGGTTTCCTACACTCCCCCTCAAGCGAAGACATGAATGTAGAGAATGTCAAGCTTGAAAAGGAAATGTGTAGAATGAAGAAGGGACGACCATGCTTGGTCGTAACTGCCTTTTGGAAATCTTGGACGAGGTTGATGTTGGAGACTGCTGAATGAGGCTCTCCGTGTAATTTGATAGATAGATCGACACATTTTAACATTGTGATCGATCTGATGAATGAACTGGTCGACCAGATGATTGAATCGATCGACTAGTCTGTGTTGATTCCCTATTCTCCCCCTCAAGCTGGAGTATGAACATCGTGAATGCCCAGGTTGAAAGGTGATGAATAATTGGTCTTAGCCCAATAATAAACACCGAGGGGTCGATCTTTTCTAGGATCGTTTCTTCCATTTGAAGCGCCGAGGGGACGATCTCTTCTTGGATCGTACAACCGTCTAAAAACGCCATGGGAACGATCTGATCGAGAGTGCCTCGTGAAGCTGAGGGGCCGATCTTTTCTTGGGTTGTATTTCCTTTTGAACGCCGAGGGGCCGATCTCTTCTTGGATCGGATAACCGTCTAAAATCGTCAAGGTAACAACCTGATCGGAGAAACCTCGCACAATGGTTTGACAATCATTGCATACATAAGCTCTCTTGATCTCCAACACTGACTATTGAAGGGACGATCTAACACTTGGGTCGTATCTATCTTCACTGCCATGACATTGTTGGTGATGATTTGCTTTCTTACCTGCAAATGGAACTTGTCTTAACCTGAAAGTGGGACAAAAGAACCAATCATGACTAATCAACTCTGTTGATCTAGGGGACTAATTCGGATTGCCAAAGACAAGGCAATATTCTGACTCTTAAAATTGGGCCAAAACTCAATGAAATGGGCCAATTCCTTTTTTTATTTTATTTGGCAAAGCCTTGTTTGCTGGGCTCTGCAAATGGGTGAGCGGCCCAACTCATGGTAGTGAAAGAGGTTGGCCTCAATAGGGTTTTGGTAACCCTTCTTCCTCTCTGCCGTTCCCAATCTTGGATGGGGATAACCATTCCGCTTCTTGTGTTGCCGCCGCACCTCCTCAGTTTTTTTTTTTTTTTTAAATCATCACGACCAGTCTTGTCGCGACGTGGGCTTTGGAGAGCGCCAACGGCAGTTGCGGGAGAGAGGCAGAGACTATGGTTGAGGGCGGAGCTCGATCTGAGCGGGAGGCGACGATTCAACCGACTTTGACTCGGACGCCTTGTTTGACTCTCGACTCCTCTAATTTGGCCGACGATGATGGGCGGCGGAGATCTAGAGGCGGCGGTGAACCCGCGCGACGACGACTGGTGACGATGCCGCGATCTGGATTCGACATCGGTGACGACGTCATCTAGCCGACAATTTTGAACCGGCGAGTGGGAAGGTCGACTGCTGATGATAGCAAACGTGGGCGACGACTTTGACGAGTGACGCAGCGGGTGCTCGGTCGATCGATGGCCATTAAGTCTGAGAGTGCAGGATCCATTCATCTTGATAATGGCCTGGACTTCAGGAATCGGGATGGCTGAGATGATTGACGATCCATATATAACTCCGACGACTTTAGACTGCGGCTTGGCTGGTGACTGAGGTTGATGTGAACCCACTACCGCCATCATAGTTTGATGATAAAATCGTCGGAGATGGTGGATTTGTGGAAGCTGGAAATGGAAGAAGAGCAGCCTGGAGAAGGCCTGCTCGTGACTGTAAATGAAGGGACTAATGGCGGAAGCATGATTGACTGGTGGCTCGGAGGCGACAACTCAGTCTTAAAGCAATGTCATGAGAAAGTGACTGTGGTGATTATGGGTTTCCAACTGTTACAATGGGTTTCTACTCTATTTATACAAGGAAGAAGAACAACCATAAAAGCTGTAAAGATAAGAGCTGCTGTTTAGTTGTTGGAGCAGAGCATGGGTGAGGTATGGACGATGGCAGCTGTTGTCTGGAGTGCAACTGGAGCACATGGGAGTCATGGGTCGCTGCTGGACAATATGGGTGACTGCAAGCTTGATGGAGGCAGACCATTGATGAAGGCTGAAGTTGGTTTACAGTTGGAAACCATCAATGCATTAATGGTTTCCTACACTCCCCCTCAAGCGAAGACATGAATGTAGAGAATGTCAAGCTTGAAAAGGAAATGTGTAGAATGAAGAAGGGACGACCATGCTTGGTCGTAACTGCCTTTTGGAAATCTTGGACGAGGTTGATGTTGGAGACTGCTGAATGAGGCTCTCCGTGTAATTTGATAGATAGATACACAGACTAGTCGATCGATTCAATCATCTGGTCGACCAGTTCATTCATCAGATCGATCACAATGTTAAAATGTGTCGATCTATCTATCAAATTACACGGAGAGCCTCATTCAGCAGTCTCCAACATCAACCTCGTCCAAGATTTCCAAAAGGCAGTTACGACCAAGCATGGTCGTCCCTTCTTCATTCTACACATTTCCTTTTCAAGCTTGACATTCTCTACATTCATGTCTTCGCTTGAGGGGGAGTGTAGGAAACCATTAATGCATTGATGGTTTCCAACTGTAAACCAACTTCAGCCTTCATCAATGGTCTGCCTCCATCAAGCTTGCAGTCACCCATATTGTCCAGCAGCGACCCATGACTCCCATGTGCTCCAGTTGCACTCCAGACAACAGCTGCCATCGTCCATACCTCACCCATGCTCTGCTCCAACAACTAAACAGCAGCTCTTATCTTTACAGCTTTTATGGTTGTTCTTCTTCCTTGTATAAATAGATTAGGAACCCTTTATAAAGGGTTGAAACCCATAACAACTGTAAAGATATGATTTTATCTGTGTTGGTTTCCATGATGAATTTGGTTGATATGATTTTATTGATGGAAAGCTTGATTTGTTATAAAGGGTTCCTAATCTATTTATACAAGGAAGAAGAACAACCATAAAAGCTGTAAAGATAAGAGCTGCTGTTTAGTTGTTGGAGCAGAGCATGGGTGAGGTATGGACGATGGCAGCTGTTGTCTGGAGTGCAACTGGAGCACATGGGAGTCATGGGTCGCTGCTGGACAATATGGGTGACTGCAAGCTTGATGGAGGCAGACCATTGATGAAGGCTGAAGTTGGTTTACAGTTGGAAACCATCAATGCATTAATGGTTTCCTACAGATACAGAGGAAGGGTGTAGCTGCCGGGATTTGGTTATTTCCTCGATGTGATGATTTTTTTAATTTGAGATTGGGGTGATTAGATTTTCTTTGCAAAGATGGGGAGGTTGGTGGTGAGGATGGCGACTTGTACGGTGGCCGGGGTGGTGGTCGGGAGGAGTGAAGATGAGGGAGGGAGATGGAGGAAGCAGATCCATGGCGGAAGAGAGCTAGGGAGAGAGAGGCAGGAGGCGGAGGAGAAGGGAAATCGGGGATGCGATTGGGGCTTTGTTGATGCGGTTGGGATTTTTGCATGTTCTGGATTTCTTCTTCTTTGTGCTCAATCGGAGCTTGGATTGGATGGAGGGTGGGAAGGTGGAGAGAATGGTGCCAGAGATTGAGAAGTTGTAAATGGTGGTGGTTCGTTTTCCGACGGGAGGAAACGGCCTGGCGGAACAACTTCATTTGACGGGTTAATTGTATCAAATACCACTTAAGTGGGGTTATTGTTGCAGGGTTACCACTTAAACAGAATTAGTAGCAACTAAAACCTCTAATTCATTCTCCGGTAGCAACATTACCAATTCCGTCAACGGAAGTAACGGCAGGTACCATAGAGGTAATTTTCTTGACACGTAGTCAGGATAGGTCAGCAACTCTTGCTGACTCAGCTTCGGCCCACTCTTGCTGACACCTAGGCCTGGGCCCACTCACGAAAATGCAGAGAAACACAGGGTGTGATCACCCGACTTCTCATCTCCCTCTCTTTTCTGTTCTGCAATTTGAAAAAGAGAAAAACCCTTCCTCCAGAAGACAATTGTGCGACGGCAAGGGAGTAGCCCTGGGAAGAAGACCAGCTACAAAGATGCTGCCATCGAGCTCGGCCGAGAACTGGTAAGCAAAAACACTCTGTTTTTTTTTTCCCACTCTGTTTTCCTCTCTGTTCCTGCGTAGGCAGACTTTACAACCAGAAAAAAGGGGGACCAAACCGATTATACTCTGTTGAGGCTTGAGAACCCCTGTTTTCCTTTTGATTAACATACTAAACGATTTGAAGAGATTAACATACTAACCGATTATACTCTCTGTTTTCCTTTTCTTCCTATTATACTCTGTATAATAAGCTAAACCATGAGAGGGGTTTTGGTGAAGAACAGAGATTAACATACTAAACGCATAGGTTGTGAAGAACAGAGATTAACATCATCACATCTTCCATTGATTACGGTAAGTAAATAGTCCCATGCATCTGCAAGTTGTTTCTACTCCTTGATTCTGATTTCTTTTCATCATGTTCTTAGTTTGTTCTTGCTAAATTTGTGGTTTATTCTGTAATGCAGGTTACATAACAGCAAGCACGTGTTCCCCTGACTTTTATCAACGAAAATGAGTCCAACTATTAGGGAAGTAGGAGATACCGATCTGATACCAACATATGGTGAGTTGGATTTTGTGTTGCTGCTGCACTTTTCATCATTTTATTTCAGGTTTACTAAAACTAAATTCGGCTTCTTTGTTTTTGTTAGGAATCGATGATGACAAGTTCACCATCGAGCTGCATTACAAAGGAGAGGTTGTGTATGTACTAGATGAAGACTTGTGTTATTTTGGCGGGGAAGTTAAGTACCTGGATTGGATAGATCCAGATTGCTTGTCTTTGTTTGAACTTGACGGATATCTTGTTGAGTTTGGCTTCTCAGAAAGTGTCAGGATGTTGGAGGAATATAGAATGAAGAATGGCTGGGCATATTATTGGAGGCTACCAGGAGAACGATTGAAGGAAGGACTTCAAGAGCTGAGAAGTGACAAAGAAATTATGGACATGGCTGCCAAGGTTATTCAAGATACGAAATTTGTAGAGATCTACTTGATCAATAAAGAGGAATTAACCAAAGCTAGCCTAGCTGAAGTTCAACATGAAATGGCAGAGATACTATCCAAGTCTAATGAAACTGAAAGTGGCAGCAAGGGAAGGACCGAGTTAGAAGATGATTTGGGCTGCCAAAACAATGTTGATTATGTTGAAAACAGGGAACCAAATGAGTTTGACACTGATCACCTTGCAGAGAGTGACCCGGAACAAGGTTTGGATGCTGATTTTGAGGGCAATTATGAAAATATGGAGGGACTAACCAACGATGGAGAGGGTGGCAGTCATGAAATATACATTGATGATGCATTTGATGTCCATTCTGAGGATGATGTATATGATTCAGACTACCTAGGCAGCATCAATTCAGATGATGAAGAAGAGGTACAGAGGGTTCCAAGTCATCCAAGGTACCCAGAGTTCAATTCAGAGAAGGACATGAGCGATCCCCATTTCTGTCTACGTCAAATTTTCAGGGATTTTGATACGTTCAAGGAAGCCGTGAAGAGCTACTCCATAAACAGCAAACAACCACTAAAGTTTAAGCATAGTGACAGTAAAAGGGTCCAAGTTGTGTGTCAAACAGGTTGTCCATGGAACATATGGGTTGCCCCAACTGATGATGGAAAGGCAGTTCAGATAAGATCTTGTTGTCTAAAGCATGAGGGGTGCATCATGATGTTCAAGAACAATTTTGGGGATGCTAACTACATAGCTCGAAGGTACCTGCAGAGGTTTCAGGCTGATCCACAATGGGGGGTTGCGTCAATTGTCCAAACAGTTGCAGAAGATTATCATTGGACTATTTCAAGGTGGAAAGCTTGGAGAATTAGACGTATTGCCTTGGATCTTTTGAGAGGCAATGCTAAGGAGCAGTATCATAAACTACAGGACTACTGTGCTCAAGTTGTTAGGACAAGTCCTGGTTCAACCTGTTTTGTGGAAACATCTCAGCATTCCAATGTCTTCAAGCGGATGTATTGTTGTTTACAACCTTGTAAGCAGGGGGCTGCTTTCTGCAGAAAGGTAGTTCTTCTCGACGGATGTTTTTTGAAAACAGACTATGGAGGACAATTACTCTCTGCAGTTAGCCTAGATGGGAACGGGGGGAGTTTTCCTTTAGTATATGCCGCAGTCAAAGTTGAGAATGGAGACAACTGGACTTGGTTCTTAAACCAATTGTGTCGAGACCTTGATATCTTCAAGGATTCAGGAAAATGGACATTTATGTCAGATAAGCAAAAAGTAAGAATATTGTTATAATGTACTTTGTTTTATAATGTTGTTTTGCTGTAGAGTAATGTGGTTTTAAGATGTAATTGTTTTATAATGCTGTTTTGTAGGGTCTGTTGAATGCTCTGGAGACTCTTGTTCCATATGCTGAACACCGATGTTGTGTGAGACATCTGGTGTCCAATCTGTTTAGGGCACAAGGAGGTAACAAAAAAACCAGAGACTTGTTATGGTCATGTGCTAGAGCTAGTTATGAATCGGAATTTAAGAGGTGCATGAATGAGTTTAAGGGTTATAATGAGGATGCTCACAGGTGGTTGCTTGACAAGCCATTCTCACAATGGACAAGGTCACAGTTCCAACCATATTCCAAGTCAGATTTGCTGACAAACAACATTTGTGAAAGTTGGAATAGCTCTCTACTAGGAGCTAGGACCAAACCGATTATAAGCATGTTCGAGACTATTAGGAAAATCTTGATGCACAGGTTTCGTTATAGGAAGGTAAAAGCAGAGTCGAAATTCAAAGGTCGATTCTGTCCTAACATACAGAGAAGGCTAGACTCGGCTCAGAAAGCTAGCTTCACTTGTAATGCCATTCAGAGTGGTCCACAAAAGTTCCAGGTTTCATGTCCTCAAGGTCAGTTGGTTGTTGATGTCAGTAAGTCTAAATGCACTTGTAGGATGTGGGAGTTAACAGGTTTACCCTGCCCTCATGCCATACGCTGCATATGGCAACTCTCAAAAAGGGTAGAGGAATACGTGGATGAATGCTATGAGGTTAGAGCTTACCTTCAGGCTTACTCTGGTGAGGTGGAACCAATGGTTGGACCAGAGTCTTGGCTGCCAAGTGGGAAGGAACCTGTGCTGCCCCCGCCGTTGGCCATAGATGAATCAAAGAAAGGAAGGCGCCAAACCAAAAGGAAAAAGGGCATTGAGGAGACAGCAGGCCCTGAAAAACAGAAACGCAAGTTTAGAGATGCAGATGAGAGGATGAGTAAGAAAGGAAAGAGGGGAACCATTCATTGTAGTGAGTGTAAGCTAGCAGGGCACAACAAGTCATTCCATTCAAAGGGGAAGAAGGGGGAAAACTCAGCAACAAAGGTGAGACAAATAGTTTTATAATTGGTTACTTGAGAAAATTTTCAGTTCTGATGTTTGGGTTTATGGTTTGTAGGAAGCACACCATCGACAGGTTCAACTGGTTTTGTACTACAATGGATGCCTGATGTATGGTCCTAATGTTTAACAACCATTATTATGCTCTTTATAACTTGTGAGATTCTTACAAATTGCTTCTGATTTGTAGGGAAGCACTCGAACTCGTCCAATGCATCCCTCAAGTCAAGCTGAAACTACCTCTTTTCCATCCCAACAAAGCAGCCAAAGCTTCACCTTAGGTTCTCTACCACCTCGACAAAGCGGCCAAAGCTTCACGCAATCAGAGGGACAAGCTTCACGCTTTGCACAAGGAGAGGGGAGGCAAAGCAAACTTCCTGTTAGAGGAAAAGAGTCCAATGGGAAAGGGAAGATGTGATATATTTTGAAGCAGAATGGGGTGTGGGGTTTAGGTAGTAGGATGAATTCCTGGTTTTTCATTGCTGTTTCTGCACTTACATGATTATAAGCTGCTTTTTGGGTGTTCTGATTTCAGCACAGTTTTTGGTGTTCAGTATTCATATACAGTCATTGACATCGATCACCAAGTATGTAGGCTGATATATTTTGCAGCAGCTTTTAGCATAGTTGTTATGTTATGGTTTTGGGTTTGAACAGGAAGAGTCTGATATATTTTGCAGCAGCTTGAAGTGACTCACTGGCTATGTGTAGATTGCTAATCCTTTCACAATTATAATGCTCCAAGTCTTGCTGCTTCTGCTGTTTCTCTATGATACTACTGACCACTTTCTTGGCATCTTTCTCTTTCCATCTAACAAACACTTTATCCCTCCCATCTCAGTCCATTCAGCTCAAGTAAAGATTCACAAACAGATTCCCCACCCACTGGTTTGAAACTTACACTTTTCTATTTGGTTTTAAAAGGTCCTGTGAAATCACAAACAGATCCATCCCATCTCAGTCCAGCAGGGAGGTTGGACAACTCATTACATAATCCAGTACATCATTCAAAACAAGTTCCCTAACACATTACATTATCCAGAACAGGTTCCACAACTCATTACATAATCCACAACAGGTTGCCACCTCATTCCTTGATTCCAAACAGGGAATTCATCACACTCTTTGCCAAAAAATCTCCAACCACAATAAAAAAACCTTTGCTGACTTCTCGGACAAATGAGCTGCGATCGTTCCTCCTCTCCACCTCTCGGATTCTCTTGTGCAAGGCGAGAACAAGGCGCTTAATATTATCTTCAAGTGGTGGATCAATCCAACGGAAATAATTACATGCATTTGCACCCTACGAATCAAGCACGAGAAGAATCAGATCCACAGTTTACATATTAGAAAGCTTTGACAAAATGAAAGCTAAGCTAATCGTTCTAATCTAATCTATGAAATCACTTATCTTTAACTCGAACTATAAGCCAAAGTAATCCTCGAACTATATCTCCAATGAATGTTGGTGCATCGTGTTTCATGCAGCAGTGACAGAGATATATGTTCTTTACCCATTAGGTGGGAAATTCGATCCCCTTGCCTGCCCTTTTTTTCTTTCTGAATTCTGTTATCACCATTTACGAAAAGAAAAAGCAACGAAGCAGAGATTCTCCCTGTAGATATGTCCCTTTACCCTTTACATTGTTTTTACCCTTCCTGGCTACTCCTCTGTTCCCACGGTTCAGCTTACCCGGTAATTGACGCAGCCGAAGAATCGTCTTCCGGGGTTGGCATCGGTCCATGAAGTTCGAAGAACCGCCGGTACCGCGCACCGGCACAGTGGACTTGCAGCCGCCATTGTCGACCGACTTAGAGGAAGGAGGAAGTGGGCAGTGGGCAGAAATGAAATGTGAGAAGGGGGTTCTCAAAAAGAAGATGGGGCAGGAAGCATATATACTACAGCAGAGGAGCGGGATAATGGCGGGAAGAAATGAGCGGGAAGAAAATCCAAAGATGAGTCAGCAAGAGGTGCTGACCTATCCTGACTACGTGTCAGGAAAATTACCTCTATGGTACCTGCCGTTACTTCCGTTGACGGAATTGGTATTGTTGCTACCGGAGAATGACTTAGAGGTTTTAGTTGCTACTAATTCTGTTTAAGTGGTAATCCTGCAACAATAACCCCACTTAAGTGGTATTTGATGCAATTAACCCTTCATTTGACGGCAGAGATCTAAGGTCGATGGCAGTGAAGAAGAAGGAAGGGTAGGAAGGGGTTTTGGTTTGGGTTAATGGGTTTTTTAGGTCGGGTGGGTTGAGTTTATATGAGGTGGTGGGTTTTTATGATGTGCCGGGTCGATTTTGATTTTTTTTCGGGGTTAAAATTGAGGTAGTCAGTATTAGCCACGTCAGCATTAACTGACGGCTCTAACAGAGTCAGACGGATGGTAATAGAGAGTGACTAAACTTGGACGATGTAACTTATTTAAGTGACCAACTTTTTAAGTAATTTCGGTGACCAAACTTGCAATTGACTCAATATTAATTAATAAAGGAAATAGAACAAAAATAAAATAATTCTATTTTTTGGCTATTAATATAAAATTAAAAGGAGATAAGGATGATGCCCAACCGGAAGTGAAGAGGGAGCTACTTTTTTCCCGTCACGAATGGATAGCTCTTTGATAACTTTTTCAATATGAGCAAAAATCCTTACTTAACTTCCACTCTTTGAAGAGAGAAAGTTATGAACTGAGTCAACGCTTTAAATTTAAAAGCAGTGTAACAAACCCGGTGCAAATCTAGGAGACGAAACAACACCCTATTTAATATCTATAGTGCTAGCTAGACTACATAAAAGATTAATGTTCATAGTGACGTGGCTAAGCGAATCTTTTGTCTAAGTAAGAAAACTTATAAAAGAAGCACACCATGAAATTCTAGAATTCATGTGACCATGACATCTCAAATGCTTTTGGATTTATCCAAAATATTTGAGATTTCATGCCAAATTATGTGGGTTCTTCCATGAACTCATGCAAGCCAAACAATGCATTTGATAGACCGTCATTTACACATGTTTTTACCCTCATACTTACACCGTTTGAGGTGTTGATTCTCGTGTTTTAGGCCGATTTCACGCTAGGTTGTGCTTGTTTGTGTTATTTCAGGTCCTAGTACGTGAATGAAGGCTTAGGAGCGAGTCTGGGGTCGATTGGACGAAGAACGGACGAAGGGCGAGCTTTTTGGGGAGTCGCACGGCCAGACCATGGAGACGCACGGCCGTGCATAGTGCAATTATGGCCGTGCGCCTCTGGCCGAGGGCATGCACGGGCTGGCCGGGAACCTTGCACGGCCGTGCACCTGGCCGTGCAAGATGGACGAAGACACAATAAGTGAAACAGCGCGTTTCAGGGTGCACGGCCAGAATGGTGTAGTGCACGGCCGTGCACCTGGCCGTGCAACTCGGGGAAACCGGTTTTAATGCCTAATCCGAGCCAAAAGTGGGAGGATCGTGTTTTCAGAGCAAAAACAGAGCCCTAGAGAGAGAAAGTACGAAGAACACACCCTAGAAGCTGTCTTAGAGCTGGATTTCATCGAATCGAGCTTGGAGATCGTCATAGGAGTGAAAATCATCGTCCCGGAGCAGATTATCCTCATCGTTATGAGTATGACTAATCCGATTCTTGTTTTCTCTTCTCTCTCTATGGAGTAGAACCCTTCTCTCACTTGGGTATGAAGAACCCTAGTTCCTTGTGTTAGGGATTTGATTGTAATGACTTGGGATGATATTACTATTTGATTTTAATCGAATGACGCATGTTTCATGAATTGATTTGAGTCTGATCAGCTTTTCTCAATTTCTGCTGCAACCTGAGATAGATAGAATCTGATTAGGTTGTTAGAGCCTCTTCATTCGATAGTAGGAGGTTGGCTATACGAGAGTTAGCCAGTTTACTGCTTTGTACTGGTGTTCTTGGCGCCAGTAGTGGAGTTCTGTGTTCATAGCCTCAGCTTTCTATCCCGGTGAAGACTAGTCGTCTGCCGGGTAGTTAGACTGAGAGGGCTTGGTCAGCTTAAGAGATTCCAAGCTACTGTCGGATCTTCCGCAGTCTAATCAACAGTAAATCAACCCAGGGAATTGCAATTGAACCTAACTAAGGGGCTAGGGGGACTCAATCCCGAGTGACTCTTGCCTGCTTTAGAAACCCGAACAATTTACTGCTTTCTTGTTGCTTTTACTTTTCACAACAATCACTCGAACTAGTTTGCTAGATAATAGAGAATCACGGAGTAAGCAGTAGATCTAGACCCCGGGTTGATAATTAAACTTGCCTGTTACTGCAGTCCCTTTCATTGGTTACACTTGGCCATTGTTAGGTGTTGTGTTTTAGCGTGTCAGCATTCTAATATTACACAAGTTCTCACAACTCAACCTACAATATACATGAATTCTACATTACGTGCTTACCAAACGACCCCTAAGAAAGTGGTATATAAATCTCTTCCAATAATTTAAGTTATTGGTACTAGTTGATTTACGAAACTCCAAATCTCATGACATCCATAGTTAACGTCGCTGCGCCATCCTTGCAGCAGAGCCAAAATGCGTGTTGGAATTTAAAATGGAGACCACTAGTTAAATTATTGGATCGGTAAGGTTAATCATGAGTTAGTGTCACGGACATAGACTTCCGAAGTCCGTGCGGCGTCTTGAGGTATCGTATGCAGACACCTACAATCGGTTCGAGAGTTGCAATACATGCTGCGGAGAGAAGCATTCTTCACCAGCACGAGGACGTGCTGCATTATGAGTGGTGGAGAATGTCACGACCCGAAATGTCGTGACCGTGTTGATCGTCTGAAGAACGCTGCCATCTGGTTGTCTTGCCATGAGAAGGGTAAAGGGGGCGACATTAGCGATAAAGCGTTGTCTGCCTGTGCATCGCATCTAGCCGAGTCAGGATGTGGCTATGAAGGGGATCGTTGCAAGATAAGTCACAACTGGTCGGAGGCTATTGTCGTCTCCCTGATGAGCCCAAGGCAGGGCGAAACCAGTTGGCATGCGTATGCAGAGAGACTGGTCTTGAGGAATGAGTGCACTCAAGATGCCGCACGGACTTCGGAAGTCTATGTCCGTGACATTAGCCATCGGTCCATTAATTTTGAACTAGTTATGCCATTGTTGCATTCCATTAATTTCTCCAGACGAGGATATTGTCTCAACTGCCAAGTAAATTGACCACGTGATGCATACCTTCATTGGAATAAATGGATAAAATCCATTTCAGGCCATGTAACGTTATTACAAAAGAAAGATGTGGCTCTTTCGCAAGCTTCTAAGTATGCTTTAGGTACTCATGTGGTGATAGTTTTATCCTATAAAGATTTTTTTTCCTACTAAACTTCTAAGTATGCTTCAGGTATTTAAGCCTGGAACCTAAAGTGGTGATAGTTTTATCGTACGAAAAAATTTCTTGTAACCATAGGCTTGTTGAGGGTGGAAATATTATTTACGGAAAGTGAACATAATTCATGATTCTATTATAATCCTAGTCACCCGGTCTCCTTCTCCCTACGATTGAACATATGTATTGATGATATAAACAACACTTTGTTTGTAAACTAGTAAGGCCAATGACCAAAATTGCTATTTTTCATAATAGAAAGTTAAAGGAAGCAAAAAGTACAAAACGACATAGCTAGGCTACAATAACAACATTGTTGATGACGAATAATTAAAGAAAAATGCCACTTCAATAAAGAAAATATATGAAGATGCCCAAATTGCACATGAAGAACTATTGTTTATTAAACAGCAGTAATATTAGTAATTAAAGATTGTCAAGTTGATTTCTGTGATTTTAATTAAATCTGTAAACAATAGTGGACCGTAGCGATGATGCAAGGGATTAATTAATTCATAATTTTTACAGGCCAGCAAGTAATGATAATTTAAAAGAAGCAACTTGGAGGGTGGATTTGTTTCCAGTATTAAATTCTCTAGTGAAAGTGAAACCTAGATTGTAATTCAACATTTGCTGTCCGTGCACGGAATAGGGTCAATAAAAGAAAGGGAAAATTAAAAGAAGTTAGTTTTTCCTATAAAAAAAAAGTTAGTTGATAAACTTTTATGGTAAAAAAAAAATTAAATTACACATTTGGTCACTCAAATTATATAAATCTTTCACGTTTGTCATTCAAATTATTTTTCTTTCATATTAGCCACTAACTTTACGAATCGTTTCACCATTAGTCACCGGTCGTCAGTTTCCGCCAGACTCACTCAGTTAAATTTTTATGACGTGGCAAACGGAAATGTTGACTGGACTGTTAACTTAATGCCATGTAAATTAAAAAATAAATAAAAAACTATTAATTAACACATCATCCTCTCGCTTTGCACATCACGAGCTAGACCTGGAAAATTAAAAATCGAACCGAACCTGCGCGAAAAATGGAACATTTTATAACCCGAAATCCGAATGAACCGAACCCAATAACCCGTAATTTTTTGGGTGGGGTTGGGTGGGTTAGCGGGTCGACCCTTTAGACCCGTTCTATTTCATATGTAACTCATAAAATCACTCGTAAATTGGTGAGATGTTGAAAAAAATTCACAAGGATTTGAAAGACATGTTTGGATCTTAAGGATAATCAAATATTATGTTTCTTGTAGTATTATTACTCTTGTAATTGTTTTTATGAAATTTATACATGCAATTTGTATTTCATTTCATTAGCATGGGAAGATTTGAGAATATGTTAATTGACATGTGTTAGTTAAACTATTGTCATTCATATGTGAAGATTTGTATTTTTTTTAAATATGAAGCATGTTTGATACAGTTTTTGAGAGCGTTCATAACCTGAAATGACCCGTAACCCGACCTGAAATCCAATGTGTTGGGTCAATATTTAACCCAAAATAAGCCAACTAACATGACCCGACCCAAAACCTGAAACCTAACCCGAATTTACCTAACTCGAACCGATTGCCAGATCTATCGCGAGCTGCTTCCACCGAGGCCGAGAAAGTGATCCACAAGGAAGTCGATCTCAACAGGACTTCCTCCGAAACATCTTCTCTCGAATCTAGTGGAGAGTCATGGTCGCCGCTCGTCGCCAGGTACCTGGGTTACGTCGAGCTGCCAGAGGAGGCAGGGGATTCAATTCCTAACTTCCAAACACGCCTTGACTGTTCAAATTCAAGCTTCGACAATGGCTACTCTCGTAAGTTCCTTGCAGACGAACTTCGTGCATGCCTGCTCATCAACTCCTTCGTTGGCTCCTTCATCCTTCTCTTGCCTCCCCACCGGAAACCCCAATCTTGTATCCAATCGGTGTCAGATTCCCCTTCCTCTGGTGGGTCGTACAAACAAATTGAAAATGATAAAAGTAAACCAAAATTAAATTATAGATAATAAAGGTAATTTATTGCCAAGGAAGTAGAAGTAAATCGGACCAAGAGGAGGACACGAAGCTAAAATGGCGACAAAATCTGAATAAGCCATTGGCAGAGAGACGGCAGTGGCATATTGATTTGAAGCTTCGACCGCAAAGAGAGATAGGGGAAAGGAAATCGAAATTTGAATTTGGATGAGGATTTTGGAGAAGATGAACTGAAGGTTCAATTATTTGTCGGCTGAGAGAATGGAAGAAATGAAGATGCAGGAAGGAGATTGCAGTCCTGATGCATCTCGGATTAGAAGAAGACAGAGACAAATGAAGGACAATGTCGTCTTGAAGAAGAGAAGCAGCGTTGAAGATAAAGAAGAAGAACAACAAAGTTTTGTTCTGTACTTAGCCGTTAACATTTACAGTTTATTTAAAACTAATAGCCTATCATGTAAGCCCACGTGGACCATTTCGTTAATGAAGATTGTAGCAATAAAAGCTACAGAGAGCTCAGTTTTCTGCTGAGCTTCTCTTCCAAACTATCTGATTTTGCACTTATTCTTCATGGTATCAGCGCAACACAGACTCTAGGGTTTGAGTTGCCACTACAACAATTTTGGCCATTTATGACACATACTTTTTGTCACATTAGGCCACCAATTTGTCACCGTTAAAGTATTATGTCGAAATATAGATGTCAAACTTTTTTTCACAAGATCGGCGTCGTAATAGATGGTTTGTGACGAAATCTTACATTGCTTGTCATAATAGATTGAGACAAAACATGACCAATAATTGTTGTCGAAATAGGGATAGTATTGTGACGAAGAGTTTCGTCAGTAAAAAGGAAATACTTTGTCATAAGTTCTTTGAGCTTGTGACTAGAAACCTGATTTTTGGGACCTTTTTGTGACAACCACCATTTGATATGACGCTACGATTGTCAGTATCTTTGTCACATTATACATCCTTCATAATTAATATCATTACATAACTGACAAAATGATTTTCTCACTAAATATATGTTACGACGACAATAATTTTGTCAGTAAATATTAAAAAGCTACATAGTTTATAGCTGACCATTTGTCATTTTGTCATTTAATTTTTAACTAGTGACGACATATGTTTGACAGGATCCTGGTATTTTGACTAAACACAATAGTTATATATGCAACATTTGTGACAATATTTTTATCAATCCTGATTCTGCATAACTAGACAATCATGTAACGTTTAACAATCTGGATGGCTAAACGTTGACCTAACTTTATTATTATCGCCCTAATTTTAAACATGCTATTACTAAATTATCCTTCATGAACTAAAAAGAAATATGAAAACAACCGCCACTACTAATCCTCATTCATGTTCGTCAAACTAGAGCGGCTAAACAACCTCCGCCGGTGCAACCCCAGTCCTCCAAAGACATCCGATGCCAACTACATTACAAGTCTGCTAGATATCCATCCTCTTACCTTGTCGGATCATTTTCCCCCGATCCTAATGGAGTCAGATTGCAAGACGATGTTGAGAAGCTGGACACGGAATTGAGATCAGAGATGGAAATCGAAACTATTTGTGCCGAAATTCGTGAGTTGAGAAGGGAAGAAGTGAATCTGGAATGGAGATTCTGGGAGAGGAATGGAAATAGAGTTGCCCATCTCATGGCTCGGGTGGAATGTCACTGGGAGGAATCTGAAGTTTGATTTGACCGGCCGCCGGTTTTTCTATTGGACCAACTCAAAAAGGATTGTAATGATTTTATCCTTATCTAAATAAAGTTACAGGTCTTTTAATAATAAAAAATAATAATGGAGGAACCAAAGAATAGAAAACACAAGTTGCAGTATCTTTGCACTTGCTCAATTGTGCCACAGTTTCAATTGAAATTTAACAGAAGATGAAAATATGATTTAGGTTGGATATATCGACAAATCTCTCTTGCCCAGCCACCATTTCATTCTTGATACCTACAGTACTACTTAGCTAGCCACACTTGACTTTCTTGTGTTGGTAAATTGGTTGTTTTTAATGAAGCACCACATTGACCTAGGGTATTCCTCTGCAAACTTTGCTGTTACAAATCTAGGAGAGAATAAAAACTAGAAAATAATTATATCAATTCTTACATAAAAGGATATGATAACTGATATATGAATATTAGACATAACAGAAGTTGTTTAGAAGTCACAGTCTTCTTTCCCTTCCAATGGACTCCTCTTTTTTTTTTTTTTTTTTGTTCATTAAGATGCAAATGGGTTAGGCTCTATGGAAAAGTACAAAACATAATACAAGTAGAGAAAGAAAATTATATCAAAGCCCAGAAACACAATAGAGTCCGGTCAAGGCCACAAAAGATACAACAATCAAACCCTAATTGGATTATGCTCCCAAAGAAAAAAGCAGTCGCCGGTGGACGAAGCCAAGCACGCCCTCAGAAACCACAAGCAAACTGGATCCGAACCCATCCGTCTGAAGGCAGTGGAAACCTCAGGCGCCTCCGGTGGAACCTCGTCGGCCCAACCGTCGAACTCATCTCGACGTCCAGACAACAAAGAGAGAAACTCAGATCGGAAGGGCGGCAGACGACGAAGACTATGGGATGAACTTCAGTCTTCAAGATTTTCACTCCAAGTACAGGTCGAGAGCCAAATCTCCGAAACACCCAGATCTGCAAGGTGAAGCAAATAGGTAGACAAAAGGGTAAAGAAGAGAAGACAAGCCGAATCAAAATAAATCCGGCCGCCTTTGCATCTTAGATCAGCGATATCTCCAGATCTAAAGGCTCAGACCAGAGGAACAAAAGCTCACCCGACACAGAGGGGAGGAGAGAGACCCACGACGGGAAGAAAAGAAGCCAAACAATGGCCGGAATCAGAAGAAAATAGAGGAGATGAAAGCAAAGCGACAAACAAAAAAATGCATCAAGTTTGCAAAGAGAAAAAGAAGAGAGAGAGAGTAATTGACATGCAACTCTTGATTATTTCCTTCTGCCAAAAAACCATGCCCTCTTAAATATTCTTCGGGAGATGCTAGAACTCTACTACCTGGATCAAGTCTCATTCATGTTAAAGTCTGTACCTACATAATTACATTTTATATGAATGTAAATGAAAGTTTAGCAAGATCAATCAAAAGATAACTAAAGGTGCTGAAATATACCTGCATCTCCCCTCCATAATAACATCCTACGCCTACCGGTCTTGTTTTATAGTACCCAACACTTCTTCGTGAAGCCTTCTTCAAATTACTCTTTTGGCTGGGCTACCATTAGCAATTGAGGTAGTAGATTCAGTATCTTGACACTCTAACACGCTCATCAAATGAAAGCTAACCCATGGGTTTGAAGTTTGCATATGCCCACTATACCTTGTGCTTTAATCAACTGTTAATATTGGGGGTCGTGGAGATTCGGACACACGACCACTTGGCCAAACGAGCTCTAATATCATGTCAAGAACCAGTTGATCCCAATAACTCGAGTTGTTGGAAGAGGTTCAATCGTGGATCATATACCATTCACTAACACACCCCATCAAACGAAAGTCAGTCACCTCATAAGGGCTTTCGTTTGCACAGGTCTGAATACGCGATACCATGTGCTTCACAAACCAGTTAGTCTCAATAACTCAAGTTGTTGGGAGAAGGTTATGCTCGATCTTAAACCACTCTCTTACACGCCCCGTCAAATGAAAGCCAGCTCATGGGCTTGAAGTTTGCACAGGCGTTCACCATACCTTGTGCTTTAATTAAGTGTTAATATTGGGGTCGTGGAGATTCAAACACATGATCTTTTGGTTCACGGCTCTGATACCATGTCATAAACCAGTTGGTCCCAATAACTCGAGTTGTTGGGACAAGGTTATGTTTGATCTTAAACTACTCTCTTACCGTTTCATAGTCAACCTTAATGACAATAGTTGACCCTGGATTAGAATTCCTCAATTCCTCTGCATAATTCCAGAGTCTGGCATACTCATCAGTGAATTGCTTGTTGAATTCTTTGAGGATGTTAGCTTTTGCTCATTTGCACATGCTCATTGAAATATCCACCTTTATTAATTATTTCGAACTAAATCATGAAATATTGATGGTGTATAGTGTATTGTATGATTTGGCTATTGAGAGTGATATTTATAGAAAATTTTGCAAGAAATAGCTTGGTTTTGAATTTTATATATAGTGACCAGAACATTGCAACCAAGTTATAGTCACCAATCTTCATGGTTTTCTTTAGTGACGGTTTTGAGTTTGTTCAAAAATTGTCTCTTTAGTAACGATTCTTAGTTGTTGCAATTGATTAAGCGACGAATTAAGTAAGGGTTTTAACCCCTGATACAAATTTCTTACTGTTGGATTTTACATTGAATTGTAGCAGGGGTTTTAACTCTTGATACATTAGCAGGGGTTTGAAACCTCTTTTAAAACCCTTGGACGGAACTTTCACCGTGGATTGCTAAAAACCCTTGCTACATGTAGAAAGGACAGCATTGGCGAGGGTTCATGCAGGGGTTGGCGAAACCCTTGCTACAACTCGTAGCAGGGATTAAAACCCTTGCTATAGGTAAAAAAAAACCCTTGCCATAGACTTTTTTTTGGTTGGTAGTGTTTCATCCCTATCATATCCATCATTATCACTATAACTACCAGGATCGGAAGAGGAAATGTAGGTCATTATCATCATAACTGGTGTCTTGCCATCATCATCTTTGGTTAAATATCTGTCCCCACTGCTCATTCTATTTTCATCTGCAATTTCCTTTCTAAAAGCTTTTTTCCTCTCATACGCCATGCTTCGTTTTAATTTTCTCTCACACTTTTCCTTGCAGCTTGAAGCTCTTCTTCATCGTTATCAGTTAAATCTTCCACTTCAATCACAACTTCTTCTTCGTCATTCTCGGTTGCCTTTATATCGTCAGCAATTAGAGGTGGAAAATGGATTGATCCATGGATTGGTGGATTGGATTAGTGGATCTATAGATCAAATGGATTGGATCGAATGGACTGATGGATTCATGGATTGGATTGGTGGATTATCCATGAATCCAAATGACATCTTCAACCAAGTACCAATACGTAAAATGTGAAAAGTTTAGGTACTAAAATGTCATAACGAAAAATTTTAGGTACCAAAACATAATTTTCCAATGATATTTTTCGTATAAAAATTAAATTTTGGGTATCAAAATGTAAAATATAAAAAGTATAGGTACCAAACCGTAATTTGTCATTTGGATCCATGGATCAATCCATGAATCCACCAATCCAATTGGATTTGGATCAAATGGATTGAATTTAAATGGATTGGATTAGGTGGATATTTTTAATGGGTTGGTGGATTGGATTGAGAATTGCCACCTCTATCAGCAATTTCACCCCAAATCCCTGTAGTTCCACCCATTCTTGTAGGAGACTTGTTTTGTCCACCACTAGCAACTGACATCTCTTTTTCCACCTTATAAATCAAGTACATATATGGTACAAGAATTTTCCTAAGTAAGATTTCCTCAAAGTTATCTATGCCAGGAACCCTACAATATATGGTACAAGAATTTTCCTACCCCAATTTCTCCTTGACAATGCTGAAATATTCTGGCCCACTCAAATTATCTACATCACATCCTAATTCTTCAAAAGGAAAGTTTTGTTGTCGCTAGAGGTGACAAAACACCGAATGTCTACTTATTCACGTATTTTTGTGCTCGTTCACGTCATTTATTGTTTATTCACTTAATAATATACTTAGTCACTTCAGAGTGTTAGTTATTTACGTATATGAAAATTCTGACTTTTTCCCAAATAATTAGTATTGGTTATATTTTATACACAAGAATTGAACTAGACCCATGAAAAGATGACACAAATGTAGGAAAATGCTATAAAAAAAAAGCACAAGGCTCAAATACCCAAAGGTAGAAGCCCAAAGGAAAGCCCTCACAAACCATAAAATTAATCTAGATCACTCCACTCTCAAACAAACTCCACAACAAAATGTAAATTAATACTCCTAGATGGAGACTAGAGGAAATCAAATGCATAAGTACTCTTAGTGAGGATAGACACATAAAGTAGTAGAGCCATCCATGTTTCAATACTCAATTGTCTTCATCTTCCTCCTCATCGTCTTCATCATCATCATCTGCATCTTCATCGTCTTCCACGCCGGTGAATTCTCTTAGGGCATTCCTCAATTTCACTGTTTTAGCTCTTGCTTCCCCAAGTTGCTCAGTTTTCACGTTCAACTTATTGGTTTGCCTCTTAATATGCTTGTCCTTCTTCTTGATCATTTTCTCCTTTTGGTCTATCAATTTCTTATCCGCTTCCAACTTCGTGGCTTGGTCAACAATTGCTTTATCTTTCTCCTTAAGCTCCTCTTCTTTCTTCTTTAATTCTTCCGTCATATTACCAATCTCCTCCTCTAGTTTCTTCTTCATCGCTTCTTCCGTCTTGATCATATGCTTGTTTTTCGCCTCTAGCTCCGCATCTTTCTTCGCCACCTCCTCATCCTTGACGTTGAGTTCCTCTAACTTCTGTTCTAGTTGTTGACCCTTGGCATCTCTCTCTTTGCGTACTTCGTCTAGTTGTTTTTTCATTTGTACCTTTTCTATCAGTAGGGTAGTCACAATGTCATCAAGTGTGACGCTTACATTGGGTGGTTCTTGCATTGGTATCGTTGATGGCGATTGTTGAGCTTTCAACTTTGCAAGCTCCTCACTTTGCATTTGTATGGCTTCGTCCCTATCATTTATTATTTTCTTCAACTCTGAAATTTCCTCGTCCTTAGCTTTCAGTTGGATGTCTTTCTGATTTGATTCTTGCTCCATGAAATCTATCTTCTCTTGCATAATATTGTTGGTTGATTTGTCATCCTTCAGAAGGTCTGTCGTTATTCATTATTAACAAAAATTAGAAATTTGTTAAACAATACTTGTAGGGTACCATTATGAAATATTACAATGCATGATATTGGTAACAAATTTGGAATGTGAAGTAGAATATCCCATAAAAAGAACTTATCTACATTCTTTGATAAAAACATCTATCCTTAAGTTTTGCCATAAAGAGTATAGAGATACACCATAAAGTTCAAAGACTAGGACAGCTAGATAATTATCAAATGAAAAGTAGAAGCAGGATCTAATAATGTTGTTATACATAATTTGTTTTATTTAATAGTGGAGGGACCAGAGCTTAAGTCTCGTCAAACTTAGACAACTATCTGTAATATATCTTTCTACATTGAAAAATAATATACTTTGTACTTTCTAGATAAAAAAAAAATTAATAACTATAGCATGTAAATATAAGTGAAACCCTTTTCTCTTATATTTAAATGACAAAAATATACCTTAATTTCAATGTTGTGTTTATAAAATCAAAGTTCCATTGCTGTGCATTGTTTTTTACAGTAGCCTGCAGAGATTGATTTTTGTGTCGAAGCTATTGCAAAAGAAACAATTTAGGTAAATGAGGTTTTAGAAATTAGAATTCAGATTACTCATTTCAGCAGTTGGTCCTAGTGATCATATAGAGATAATAAATTCTACTACAGGTAAAGTCTGAATTTAGCTTCCAAAAAAGAGTTTAAATAATCTTCCTATCAAATAATTGCAGAAAATTTAGTTGACTCACCGATTTTGAGGGAAATAGCTAGTTTGATGTCCTTAGAAGTCGTCGCAATTTCTTCAACCATCAATCCTCCTGACAATCCTTCTGTTGTTGGCGGCATTGTTACCATCGATGATACCGTAGACAATGACTCTTGATTTTTCATCGCTGCAATCTCATCGTCTTTCTTGTTGACAACTAGTATTAACTCCTCTATCTTCCCCTCCTTGGCATCCAACTCGTGATTTTTCTTTGCAATTTCTTGCTCCCGCTCCTTCATAATTTCTTCCAGCCCCTCAATCTTTTTAGTTTTATCTTCTAGATCCTGAATTTTCTGAGCATCGTCTTCCTCACCCTTCTTGATAATTGCTTCCAACTCCTGGATTTTTTGGTTAGCATCTTCCTTACCCTTGCGGATAATGTCTTCCAGCTCCATTATTTTTTGGGCAGCTTCTTTTGCACCATCCTTGATAATCGCCTCCAGCTCCTCTATCTTATTATTCTTTGCTTGCAGCTCTTGTTTTTTCCTGGTAGCTTCTTCCTCGTCCTTTTTAATAATTGCTTCCAGATCCTTTATCTTTTCATCCTTCGAATCCAGCTCCTCATTTTTCTCCGCAATTTCTCCCACGTACTTATTGACGATTGCTTCCAACTCCACAATCTTACTCCTTGCTGCATCCAGGTCCTCGTCCTTCTTCGCAATTTCATCCTCGCGCTTCTTGAGAATGACGTTTAGCTCCTCGATCTTATTTTTCGCTGCATCCAGATCCTGAACTCCCTTGCGAATCTCCTCATCTTTCTTCTTCAGCTCCTCGTCCTCATCGTGTATCGCCTTGGTTTTGGCTTCGAGCTCCTTGTTTCTCGCGTCGATCTCCTTGTTTTTGGCTACGATCTCGTTGCGTTGCTTGTTGATCAGTTCGTCCTTGTTGGTCATCGCCTCTTTTGACTTCTTCAGCTCCTCCGTCAGCTCTCCTATCTTCTTCTTCTTGTCGTCGTCGCTCACGCTCGGAGTAGCACCGCCGCCGCTGCTGCTACTAGCGCCGCCGCCGCCAGCAGCAGCAGCAGCAGCTGGCTGGTCCATGCGGCCTTGCCATCCGAAGTGGCTGGCGTTCTTCTTGCCCTGCAGCTCTCCGGATTTGAGGTACACACAAACGATCTGGACGCCGGCGTAGTTGGCCAGCCGGTTACCTTTCTCAAGGGATTTGTAGAGTCTGACGAAATTGTCGCCGCTGATGAGGTTGCCGCTAACATCTAACGCCGTGTATTGGGTGCCTTCGCCGTTGGGATGGATCTTCTCCACCAGCGGCCAGTCCCTGTAAGGGTACATCACGGGTAGATTACCGTGCTGGCCGGCCGAATTCAGCACATGGATGGTGTTGAGCTCGCCGCCGGCGCAAACAAAGAGGGAGCTGTTTGAATACAGAGGGTACGGCTTCATATTTGATAAGAGGGAGGGAAGATTGATACTTCAAGTGCTCCCAAATCTGGGAATCGGCCTAGTCTCTTAATTTATAGCTTCTTGATAATGCAATATGAATTGGGTTCTTTTTCTTTAATTATTTCATTTTTGTTAAATGGGAAAACAGGGTATATGCGACGGCCGCGGTTTTGGTTCTTGTGATTTTTAAAAGTCAAGTGGAGGTCTTTGATTAGAGTGACAAATCGTTATGTACTACCAAAGTCTGTCGTCAAAATACTAGTAAAGAAAGACCTAAAGGATGGACTCATGGACCAAATATTAAACATCGTACAATGCTAATCCAAGGAATGCGTTCCTTTAATGATAATGATACGGCAGATGTGCATTCCAGCTAGACTAGTTTTTAACCATATTTCACATGTGGGACAACACGGTGGTTGTTGTAGTCAGTGATGGCAACCCTTAGTTACATAGGGCTGCATTTGAACAGCAAAAAGGCGGAAAAAAAAAATACGCAAAACATAACAGAAAAGTTTTTTATATATTACTGTAAGTCTGTAACTGCACCTTTTTCACTCAAAATATGATCTAAACTCAGCTAAACAAAATAATTATACTATGGTAGGTTCAAATAAATTGTAAAAAAAATAATTCGTATCAATTTTACGTAACAACATATTTTCATATGAAAATAAATTTATGCTAATATCATTATTTAAAATTAATTTAATTCATTTTTTATTTATCTAAAAGTATCCATTAAAATTTGCCTAAGTCAATCGGTTGAAAAATAGTAGTAAAGGAAGATTATGCTGAGATTATTATTTTTTTGCAATCCGAAATGATAGATCGAAGAGCATGCCTAAATATTAAGTCTCGTACCTTAAAATGTTAATCAAAGAATTCCTTCCTTTGTAATTAATATAGTGATTATAATGATTTTGCAGATCGATGTGCCATAATCAAAGAATACTAGGCTAGTTTTAAACAACAACAATATTTGGGACAACGCACATGGATGAACGAAAAGGCAACGTGATAAAGCAAAGCTAAAAACAAAACAAAGGTGCAAAATGACATAGGTAACTACAACAACAACATTGTTGATAACGATTAATTAATTTAAAGAAAGGCCTCTTCAAAAATAAAAATAAATATTAAGATGACCAACTTGTTCATTGATAACTATTTTTGTCATTGAACAACATGAATAATTAGTGATTAAAGATTGTCAAGTTGATATCTGTGATCTGAATTAACTTTCTAAATAATAGTGAGGATGGAGGGATTAATTCATGTACAATTTTCACATGCCAGCAAGTATATAATAATTTATAAGAATGGTTGATTGGGACAGGTTACGGTGATTACTACATAAGTATAATCACCGTGGTTACTAAAAGTAAATTGGGTATGAAAAATAAATTGTATCAATTAATTTTTTTAATAAATTATATTTTAGGTAGTTACAAGAATCTATTAATTACAATTCTCTCTTTTTCTCTCACTTCCATAATCTTCAGCCAGATCCCTTTTCCTGATTTTTCTCAATCTTTCTGCAAAAGAGAAAAAAAACACGAAATCACTACCAATCCATTAGATAATCACTACCACTTTGAAAAATATCAATACCATTGCAGAAATAAATCTATACCATTACACGAAAACTACCAATATAAACAATCAACCAATATAAATCTATACCATTTCACAAAAAATCAATACCATTGCAGATTGAATCCATACCAAATACATGCAAATTAATACCATTACATGATAATCAATACCAATGTGACAAAAACAATACCAATGCAAAAAAACACTACCACTACGAAAAAATCACTACCAATGCGAGAAAAAAAAATTAGATCTAGGGTTTTTATTCATCCCACCTTTTCCAGAGAATCTGTCGACCCGAGGAACTCCATTGCTAATGCTCTGGCGAGCCGTGATTTCCCAACTCCGGTTGGGCCGTGAAAGAAGAAGCTGGCGAATGGCTTGTCGGCGGCGAGATCTGAATGAGTAACTAGCTTGACACCGCCGGGAGGAGTACCGGGTTGGGCGGGAAGAAGACGGTTCCGGCGCCGTACCGGATCTTCAACCTCGGGAACACGTCGCCGGTGACGGTGCCGACGCTGGTGAGCATACTGGAGAGGCATCTGAAGGTGAAGGGGAAGAAGAAGATGGTGGAGATGCCCGGGAACGGGGACGTGCCGTTCACCAACGCGAACATCAGCTCGGCCCGGCCTAGTAGGCCGGCCGCCCTACCTAAACCGAGCTTTCTCAAGAGGAAAAAAAGAAAAGAGGTCGTGAAGCTTAGGGATCAATATGATGACTGGTTTGTAGTTCGGGTACCGGCCGACGACAGATATGCATTTTTCCTTCCCTTTGGTCCCTTTCAATGGCGGAAACTTTGCAAGCAGGGAAAAGAGGAACCAGCTTGTGGGTCTGCTTGTTTGGGTTTTTAAGAATCTGGTCGGCGGAGTGACGCCGACGGGGGTGGGAGAAGGGAGAGACGGCGGCTAGGTAGATAGGTTGTATTAGGGTTTGAGTATAATATATACAGTAATCAGGTGTGGTATGTTTTTCATTTCCTAAATTACCCTTAGCTAATCTTAATCGTTAATTTAAAAATATAATAAAATAAAGATAATGAATGGTATAGATGTTGGTAGCCACCGTGATTACTCAAAATTGAGTAACCACTCTAACCTATTCCCGGTTGATTTGTTCGAGAATTAATAAGATTCTAGTGAAAATGAAAAATCCTTAACTCTTGGGAAGAAACTTTTTAAGTGACGTCCTATGGTTACACTTTATTTATTACACTAATGTCAAATGTTTTTTTTTTTTGAAAATTTTAAATAATGTATTTCTACTTCATATTTGTACTTATAAAATTTTTAAGTACTTATAAAAGTTTTTTTTTTGTCAAAGTGCTAAACTAATTTGCTTTCTTGTGGTCTCTTTCAACCAAATTCCTTCTCTCATTCCTTTGTCTCTCCTTTAGGGATGGCAATTTTGCCCATACCCATGGGTTTTTTTACTATCCAACCCAATTGGGTTGGGTATGAAATCCAAATAGATGGATATGGGTAGAATTTGATGGGTTTATACCCATACCCATTTACTTTGGGTTGGGTTGGGTTTATACCAAATGGATTTGGGTTTGTACCCATGCCCAAATACAAATTACAGTTTGGTACCTAAACTTAATAGATATGCATATTTAGTACCTAAATTTAATTTTTTTGCATATAAGTCATCAAAATATCGATGAAAAATTACGTTTTGGTACCTAAATTTTTCAAGTTTTACAAATAGGTCCAATTTTTGCATATGTAGTTAAAACACCCTCAAGTAAATGGATATCCATATCCGACCCATACCCATTTAAATTATGGAGGCAATATTCATACATTACCCAAACCCATAAACAAACCCCCCAAACCCATATGCACTTCACCCATACCCCAATCCATTATCAATGGGTCTACTTGGGTTTTGGTATAATTACCCATGGGTGGGTAATTGCCATCCCTACTCTCCTTCTTATTCCTATGGTTTTGCTAGGGTTGCGATGGATGCCTCGTCGTCAGAGACCGTGTCGACTTGCGATGGCTCCTCCTAGGCTCAGTTGTTTGCTATAGCACTGAAGAACAGGTTACAGTATCGGTCGCCGATCACATTTAAGGATGGCTTTCAGCTCCCAAAAGAGATGAAGGAGAAAGGAGCGGACTGGTGGAAGAACTCTTTGATCGGTCAATTTGTTGGATCGAGGCCAAAAACTCCGGCGCTACAAGCCTCGACGAATGCATTGTGGGAACGAGATGGTCTGG